CTAGTGCTGGACTGATTCAGTGATCTCCATTGATTCCCCTTCTGCCTTACTGATTGGCCACCTAACCTGTGGGCGTAGACAGATGGGCAGGCATGAGAAGTCAGTCAGCATCAGGACGGCCTGGGTTGCTTAATCTGTGTCAGGTGAGCATGTAACAGAGGCACCCCCTAATCCCTGACCCCTGACCAGGAAGACAAGGGGCAGGGGAATGCAGGTGGGCATTTGGTCAGCCACATGGAGTTTCTGTGGAGACATGCCTGTCAGCAGACCAGTAAGAGGAGGACACTGTGGACAAAGAGTGCTTGTGTCAGGGCCAAGGCAGAGGTCTTAAAAATGCTTGAATCAAAATGTGAAATATGATATATCAAGAACTATGTAATGTTTTGAACAACCAACATTAAAAAAAAATAATAAATAAAAAGAAAAAAAATGTGTGATTCTGTAGGAATTATAAATTTAGCTTCTAATTATTCATATTAAGTTCTTATTGCTATTCTACCATGAAAAACAGGCATTGTTCCCCATGGCAGCTGACTGTACATTCTTAAGTTTTCTACTTGGCCATCATATAATTGCTAACATTTTTTTTTTTTTTTAAACAGGGATGATTCTTCAAGAGAACCTTTGACTTTGACAAGAGTTTACAGCTATGATTTTACACTCGGCTTTTGACACTTCCTTTAAATTATGTTTTTATTAAGATTATTTTATTACGGGGAGAAAGGTATTTGGAAAACTGTCATTGGCATGTCGCATCATGTACACTGTTTCCAGGCCTGCCTGCTGCTTGGCCTTTCCCGTGTAGGTCAGGAGGTTGTGAGATGAGAAGCCCACATTGAGACGGGTGCTGACAGCAGGGGCTGATGGAGGCCTGTCCACCACCTTGTTTCTCCAACTACCTCGTGTCATTGTGGATTCGAGCGTCTTGCTTGTCGCTTCCTTTGGGTGCCCAGGCCGTTGCTCAGTGCAGGTGGCTGGAGCAGACACGGGAGGATCACTGAAGCCGGTGCTTCCCCTGTGGGATGCTGGTGACCTCCTGCACCGCCGGTCACCAAAAGCAGTGAAGCCAGAGCTGAGGCCTCAGTGTTGCTCTGAGTTGTGGAAGCTCTCGGTGCCAACTGTGGCTGGTCCTTGTCCTCCAAAGGGACAGTCAGTTTGGTGTCACATGTTGCAGCAAGAAGTTGGTGTCTCTGAAGTATGATTTTAAAATTGCACCTCTGGCTGCATCTCCTGGTCCTGGAGTTGGGAGACACTCCTTGCATCAAGGGGTCACTTTAAAAAAAATAATAAAAAGAATCTTGGTGGGGAAACTGCCTCTAAACCCCTCTCATATATAGACAGCTTTGACCTGAGGGTACTTTCTTCTTCCAGAATGGTGTTAACTGCAGTTAAAATGCAATATGCAAACTATTTTCTTAATGTGATGGAATAGGCATAGCCACTGCCTACTGTATTCTGGCTGGACTCCATGTATACTCTAACTTAAGAAATAAAAAATGCAGAACAAAAGATGCCTTTTCATTCTCTTTATGTCTGTCACGGGCCAGGTGGGGAAAGCTGCAGCGTGTGGCTGGGGTGCCACTGGTGCCTGCTACTCCTCTGGCCTGCAGCCTCAGTGAGCAATCCCACAGTGTTGTAAGCTAGAGGCGAGCCTTTCTTGTGAATAGGAACCCGAGTTTTCAAACAGGGCTTCACATCCTGGTTCTCACATGTCAGGACAGATTGAAAGTGACATGAGTGCCAAGTGTACAGCTTGTCAGGGACAAGGGGGAGGGAAGAAGTGCAGGCCCTTGCATAGGGTGCCTTTTTGCTAGTTGCAAACTGGGCCCCTCCCCAGAGATGAGAGTGGCCGACCAAGGATCTTCTGAACCAGTTCGACTGCTTTCTCCCCGCTCTGCTTCTACCCTCAGCCTCTGGAATACAGGTCCAGCTCATGGTCACTGTCCTGGGTAATGGGTTGATGACAGAGGCACCCACTCACCCTCTGGCTGCTGAGCACACCTCTTAGAGATGAGCTGTCTTCTCTGCTGAGGCAGGTACTCAGGCCTCAGGCCACCTGTTCACCAGGCTAACTAACAGCCTTCACTTGCTGAAATTTGAGATACTGGGTTTGGGGAGGGAAATGTGTTTCTCACAAGTGAGTTGGCCCAGCTTCTACTTCAGAGAGACTCAAGAGAAGTAGACTCTTGTCCTTCCATTCATGGTCCAAGGCCACCAGGCAGGCCTGGGAGCCTGCCTTCCTGCTCTCTGACCAAGAACAAGTCACCTTTGTCTGCCTCCCGTGCTCACAGACTGACCTAAAACACTCACTTCCACAGAGCTCTTCATACTTGTCTAGGGCTTTTATTATGGCTGGTTGAGTGGAATTCTGACCTTATGCCACATAGCAGCCTGTCACTCCCCACACTGAGGGAGTGACCGTTCCCTTGGGGTCACCATTGTCCTGCGACTGAGGACTTGGGTGGGTATAGGGAGGTTTGGAAGAGCTCCCTGTAGTCATGTTCTTGCCCCTGGTGAAGATTCCCTTAAGGTGACCAGTTGCCTAGGGCTGGCCACCTGCAGAACCTTTCTGAGAAAAGGAACTCCACATAGCTCTCCAGGGACTGCAGAGCTCAGCCAGATGGTGTCGGCCTGCCATGCCAGTGTCGATTAACCAGGGCCCAGAGGTTTCTCTATGGTTGGAAGAGACTTGGTGGCATCTCTCCTGGGTTCTGGGCAGTCTGAAGCAGCTGAGCTAACTCTGAGATCACCTTGCCTTTGTAGAAACTGGCTACTTCCCACTAAGGGCATTTCTGAGGATTGCGGTGCCTGGCTCATAGAAGTTGGCCAGAAACTCTGCTGTGGCTTCTTAAGTAAGGTTCCCACCCTCATGCCTGGTGCTGGGGATAGAACCCAGGGCTTTGTGAATGCTGGGCAAGCACGCCACCACTGAGGGACACCCCAGCTCAAGTAATCCATTCTTTGTGTAGCTCTTGAGGAGCTTCAGCCACCCTGGGACAGCCCACTGGGTGAGTTACAGACAGAGACCACCATGGTAGGTCACGTTGCCTCTGTGCCCTTGTGCTCTTTCCAACAGCCTCAGACCCTGATAAACCACAGAAACAATGTTTACACAAGAGGAAGTTGTTACCACTAAACTCTGGCTTCACCTATTCTAAGTCAACTTAAAAATCACTGATTTTGGAGGTCACAAAGTCTAGCTTTGCTGTAGATAACACCTCTGATGTGTGGGTTATGATGATAATGCTTGCCTAGGTTACCTTTTCGGAACTTGAAAAACACTTGACTATTTGGGCTGCAGATGTCTGGTGGGTGGCTGGGATGGGTGTCTCATATGCTTGTCTCCTTTGTTTCCTTAACTTTTGGGTTAGACTCTACTCAGCTCTGCCTGTARATGTGTCAGTTGCCTTTGGAGCGGGCATATTTTCTTCTTCCTGCCCTTGTGCTTTTTCTGCAGCTAGAACAGCCCCCAAACCCATAGTCCTTTAGCCCTGTCATAGGCCCAGATGGAGCCCCAAGGCCAGGGTGTTTGCACAGGGGGATGGGCACCAGCTACAAGAGTGGTTCCCAGGCAAGTTGACTGTGACTGGTGGTATCCTCAACATCTTTTGGAACCATGCTCCTGGTCAATGGAAAATTATCAGACTAGCCCATCCCAGCAAATCAATAAAAACTTGCATTTCCCTTTATTTAGGGAGCAACCTGGGCCATTGATGAGTGCTGTTTCYCTTTAGCAGAAGCCCCAGTTAAAGCTTTGCCTATACATTTGGGCTCATTTCACTTGATTTGCTTCTGTCATCACTGAGTCAAAAGTTTTCATCTCTGGTATTAGGAGTTTGGTAACCTGTCATGGTACATACATGACATGATACACTTGGTCTCTAACCAGTGTGAGTGATGGCCAAGGCCAGGCTTGTATCCTGTCTGATAAGTGGGAAACCAAGTCTCAGAGCAGTTGTGAGTGGTCCAGGCTGTGAGTGGCTGGCGAGTGGGGGTGGGGCTGGGGGAGTGCAGGTGGAAGGAGTTGGTGGGCATAGCTGGCATGGCTGGTTCAGGGGGCAGGAGGAACGTGCAAGGCTGAGTACAGGTGCTGCTCTGGCCTTAGTCTTGGCTTGGCAGTGGGAACGGTAGAGGAACAACAAGAGCAGGAACCCTCTCCAGAGCCAGGGTTGGGGRTGCTTAGAATGGGAGTAGGCCTTTCCTGTGCAGGTGCTGCTCTGGGCTAGGGCCAGCACCCTGGGGACTTCCTGATGATGACAATGCCCCTGCCCTGCCCACTGCTACTCTTACAGGCAAAGAAACTGAAGCAAAGAGGTGAGTGCTTTGCCCCAAGGCACCTGGCCTTTAACATGGAGCTGTGAGGCTAACGGGGCTCCTGTTGCCACTCATAGCCCTGTGTGGTAGGAGCCCAGGGTGGGCTGTGTCTCCTGGACAGAGGTGGATAGAGCAGGGAACACATGACCCAGCAGTGTCTGTCTGGCTGACAAAGTGTGCTAGAAATAACCATTTTTACCCCAGGGTTACATGACTGATTAAGGATCTTTAACAATCTCAAGTTCCAGCAAGTTAGGGGAGAGGGCTGCAGGATGGCCTGTTTGCCTTGTAAATGTTTCCAGACATGCCTTACTGGCTATGGGGGACCTTCCTAAGATGACAAGTTCCTTTCTGGCACTGTCTAGCTGACTGGAGTCATAGACCTCAGCTTGGGCTAAAAGAGCATTGAGGGAGAGGGGACATTTCCTTACAGCTCAGCCATAGGATGAGTCTGGCCAAGTTCTTTCTGAAAGTCCATGCTTGGGGATGTGCTGCCAAGAACATTCTTGGCTACACACAGAGGCTGCTCTGGTGAAGCCACGTGGGTCTGTGCTGAAGGAGGAGGAAGCCAGAGCTCCTTCCTACCTGCCTGGCCCAGGTGCGTTTTGTTGCTAGGACTTAGCCCAGATCAGAAGTCTCTGCCTCACCCTGTGCAGCTTGGCATTGTGCAGCCGCCCGTGGGGCCCTTACAGGACACAGCAGGTGCAGGACACAGGCCTCTGTTGCCTCAGCTGCTGCTGGAGCTGCTCCTTTTCCACCGTCAGCACCTTCACCTTCTCCTCCAGCTTGCTCAGCTCTGTTGTCCACTTCTGAGGGGCAGCATAGCACAAATGGCCAAGCTGATGTCAGCCCCAGCTGTCCACCCTCACCCTGGAGCGAACTATAGCCCGGGGGGGGGGGGGGAGCCATGACCCAGGCAGCCCTGGGCTCTTGAGAGGCTACAGAGCACGGATGTGGGGAGGGAGTCTTCCTCTGCAGCCTCCCAGATGCTAGGATAGGCACAGCTGCCCCTTAGCCACATCCTTCCCTCAAACTGACAGCCCCCTTTGCCCTCTGCCTTTCCACCACCTGGCAGTTTCCTCTTGCAAAAAGATCTCCCCTTGGGACTATGTCCAGCACACCCCTCCCCCCGTCTGGAGCTCCCCCAAATGTATTACACAGTCCTTGGGGTTTTCTTGTAACTCTCCAATATTCTCATCTCTCCGTTCTCCTGTTGTTCTCAACAACAGAATACCTCAACCACTCAAGTTGGGTGGGTGGGGGTGTCAGGCACCATGGAAAGAGGGACATAGATTTTGAGGAGACTGCTTGGGCCTCTCCCCTAGCCACTGGACAGTGTACTATAGGGGATGGTCCTCCTTTGTGCTCATGGGTTGACACAGGACACAAGGACCCGAGGACACAAGATGGTCTGCATAGGACTGCTCAGAGAGGCTGGAGGAGCTGGGTTGGCTGGGCCCTGCCCACTGCAGCCTGGGCCTCCTCACCTGCCTGTACCAGTCCTGGATGGCGCTGACGGACAGTGGCCCCTGGATGCTCCCGTCCCGCCGTAGGAACACCTCCCCCTGGTCTGTCTCGTACAGCTGGGGCTCCCCTTGGGTCTTGGGGGTGTGCACAGTCAGACGGAGCACCTTGGTGGGGGAATGGCAGCTTGGGTGAAGGCCACAGCTGACGCTGGCAGCCCCAGTCCTGCCCAGGACTCCACCCTGGCCCTGGCTCCTTAAGGGAGCAGTGGCTCCTAGAGGGATTCCTTTCCTCACCCCCCTGCTCCACTCCCCACCCCCACGAGTAGCACAGGCCATTGTCCTGCTGGGCCATGACAGATGACAAGCCTGTCTGTCCCGCACGCTTACCTTGAGAGGCACATTGGTGGTGGAGGCACTGATGACAGGGATGAAGGTGAGGGTGTAAGCGCTGGGAAAGACCTGAGGCTTGAAGCTCTGCAGGATGGAGTCCACCAGCAGGCGCGCTCGGTCCTCATCGCGGTGGGTGCAGCGGATGCCCTGCACCAGGCCACTGTCCTCCACGCCCACTAGCAGGCTGCCTCCTTCACTGTTGAGGAAGGCGCATACATAGCGCCGCACGTGGTGCTTGAAGGCGAGGTTCAAGTACTCGCCACCGCCCCGCTTGAACTCCATGTTTCGTGTCTCGTTGCCCAGGAAAGTGCCCTGGAAGAGGTGCTCCTGGCCCAGGATCTCCTGGTGCACGATGGCGCTGTCAGAGCGCACGCCGCTGGGCCGGTTCTGGGAAATCTGCCACTGATGGGCGCAGTGCCACCTAGATGAGGAGTCTGCAGGTCCTGTTGGCATGGGGAGACTGGAGCCATGGCTGAGACCCGGGCTGGGACCAGGGCTGGGGCCAGGGCTGGGGCCTCGGCTTGGGCCACTGTCCTCCTCCTGCTGGGGTAGGGGTCGAGAGTGGGACATATGGATCCTTGGGAATTCAGGAGTCCCTGCCTTGAGACCAACTGCCAGACTCCCAACAGCCTGAGGTCCAGCCCCCGTGGACATCCTGATGCCTCCTTTAGTCTGATGGCCTAATTCGCTCACCCTCCTGCCATCAACGTGGGACCACCCTGCTGGTTTTCAAGGGTCTAAACCAGCCACTGCCCCTTCCCCTCCTGGCCTCTTTCTAAGTCTAGGTGTCTGTGGTATGCCTGGGTGGGTAAGAAGGGAGTTTTCTTCCTAGGACTGGGAGTGGGCACATCTGTGTGCCAGTCTTTTCCCACTTGGGTTGCAGATAGTTCTGTGAGGCCCRGGGCCTGATGATGGAGTTCCTAAGTACCCTGAGGTCCCCATCCACGTCAAGTTGCATGTTTCTGAACTGAAAGACTGCACTGGCTTCATGATCTCCCTGAAACCTGACTGCTACTTCCTGGAAGTCCTCCTGAATCCCAGCTCTCCTCTGCCCTTCCCAAGCCCATTCCATGGCTTCTGATCTGTTGAGAGAGTGGTCATGTCCTTGTGGCTCTTTCCCTAGTCTGGGCCTCATCAGGAAGCCCCTCACTGACTCTCCTTTTCCCATGCATCCTCCTCTAGCCCTAGGGCAAGTCAGATGGTCACCCCCCGTTGGAAACCTGTTCCTGGCTCCTGCTGCTTTCGCCTCTCCAGGGCTGGGGGCTAAGCGTGGGCTGGCACCCGCGATGAGAGGCACTGCCCTACTAGCCCTGTGGCTCCCCAGAGAAGACTCACTTATCAGTCCAGGGACACCAAGCAGCTTTCCCTACAAACTCAAACCCTTGCCCTGTCCCTTTGCAAGTGCTGGTCCTTCTGCCTGGAATGTCCTGAGTGCCTCTCCAGTTCTCCAGGTCCCAGCTTGATCCCTGAGAATTTGTCCTAGAGAGCAGTGAGGACTGCCCCATGTCTTCAGGCAGCCACCTCAGATTTGTGATTGGTGGAATCTGGCGCTGCTCATGAGTGGGGGCTCCTTGAGGGCAGGGCCAGGACGGAGTGGTGTTGGTGTTTGTCTACTGGGCAGGTGAGGTAGGCCAAGGAGAAAAATCAGGACCTGTGTATCTGAGGCCCTCTCAGGCTGAGGCTGGAATGCAAAAGGGCCCAAGAAAAAGCCCCACACTTTGGCTTTTCTTCAGACAAGCTCAGGCTGGCCATCCACTAAGGGATAGTGGCCCTCTGGGTGAAAGTGGGAAGTATGAGCTTCAGGCTTTAGGCCAGTGTCACTTGAGCAGCCGCAAGTCTGCAGATCTGTCCTCATTTTTTCAAAGACATCCCCCAACCCTACAGGCCATTCTCACCCAGGCCTCCCTTCTGGGTGTCTTTGGGACTGCCTTGGGGAGGTCCCACTTACCTCTCTATAGATTAGTGGCTCCCGGGCCTCACTCAATACCAGCTCCTTCCCCCGGGCTGTCAGCTCTTTGAGGATCAGCTTCTCCTCCATGGCCATCTGCAGGCGCCAGGGTAGGGAGGCCAGGACATCCTTGTTGGTGGCCACCCGCACGAACGCATAGGCATTCCGTGGCCGCCTCACCACCTCGATGTGCTCCCGTGGGATCCGCAACTCAAGTCGCTCCAGGGTATCCCGCAGCAGGCAGGCGAGCACGGGCACTGAGAACTGGGGATTCAGGTGGCCCACATAGAGCGTGTATGTGTGGGGAACTGCCCTAGGGCTTGTGTCTTCGGGCAGGGACTCTTCTTGGGGGAGCTTTGGCAGGGGCTGTTTGCTCTGGGACTCCATGAAGGTCTCCCACATCTGTGTTTGTGCTGATCTCTTACTTGGGGTCATGGGGTGTCTTCCTTGGAAGGGATTCAGGTTCCTCCCTGTTGACTGCTCCTCCAAGGGCCCTGGGCTCTTAGATGGCCCAGGACCTCACAGGGGACTCAGGTGTGCCAAGGCTCCTGGGGGCCTCTCAGACTGGCAGAAACTGGTCAGGGCCACAGAGACAGAGAAGGAGGGCAGAGGGCCACCAAGAAGTGGTCTGCCACACACCTGGGCAAGAGAGTGGGAAAGGACTGAGCCAGACCTCAGAGCCTGCAGGCTGACTGAGGGTATTTGCCCAAGAAAGAGCAGGAAGGCCCAGAATTCAGGTCCCTAAAAGCCTCACCACATCCTCTTGATGACCCCAGGGGTCCTGTCTTCCATCCCCAGTCCACAGGCTAGGGGCCTCGTAAGTACCCTTGGAGTTTTCTGCCAACCAGAAGACTTTTACAGCCTCCAGGCTCCAAAGAAACCTTTTAAAGAGGGTGTTTTGGAGAAGACTTAGCCCAGGACTCAGGGCTGGCCAGCAGCCCCATGGCTGCTTTTTCCTGCCTGGTCCAAACCCAGTAGGGACTCTGAAATTAGTTAAGTATGAGGTCAGAGGGTTCTTATGCTTTTTGGCACACTTACAAAATCTATGTTCCCTCCCCAGAAAAATGGCCTTTGCATACATATATACATATAATTTGAGGAGGCTGAGAATGGGGTTTAGAGCTGGGCTCCTGTGCCTTGCCCCCAGGCCCAGGAGCTGTGCCTGTGCACATACCAGCCCCTCCACTCACCCCCACACAGCCAGCCTCTGGCTGGTGTGGTAGGTGCCACCAGCCTGCATCTTTTCAGGTTGGATCCTGGAGGCAGGTGGGGTCTGGGAGCCACCACGGCTGGGGCAGGGGCATTCAAGGCAAACAGGAATAGGAGGAAAGAGGCCTAAGTCCTTCATATCCTTCTGGCTCCTGGAGGAACATGAGAGGTGCCAGTTCTGAGCTCCCACAACCCCCTGACCCCTACTAGCACCTCCCAGGGCACTTAGAGCTTAGCATGGAGGCAGGGAGAACCAGGGTCCTGGGAAATGGGCGGGGCCTGCACAACTGCCTCTGTGATCTCATGAGGGTCAACAATGCCTTCTTGGCCAGCTGTGGACAAGGCCTCTCCCACACCTGCAGACATGGCTGCCCACCAACCACATAAGCTTGATCATGGGGCTCCTTCTGGGTAGCTTTCAGAAAGCAGGGGCTGAAGACACAGTTCCTCCCTTTGCAATGCCTTTCTAGGCCCCAATGCCCATGCAGGCCACCCAGTTGCCACCACTTTTGGTCCTGGTGCTTAAAACCTCTACTTCCTTTTTTGTTCTCAGGATTCCCTCCTGTGGACTGTTCCTCCCAGGGCCCTGGGCTTTCAGATGGCCCAGGACCTCGCAGGAGACTCAGGTGTGCCAAGCCTCCTGGGGGCCTCACAGATGGGCAGAAACTAACTGGTCAGGGCCAGAGAGACAGAGAAGGAGGGCAGAGGGTCCCAGCTGCTCCCAGGATGGACCAAAATACACAGGGTAGCTTCCAGAATCACCCCTGACAACAGGCCCTTCTCTATGCCAGGGACAAAATTTGCTATCTAGAAGAGTCCTGAAAAATAGATCAAGCGTTGTTGTCTCTTTTGATGTACAGGGGTGTTACCTGTTGTTTGACTGGGACGAAGACATGGGTCATGCCCAGCCTCTCCAAATGCAGGGACCTGCTCCTGGCAAGTGGGGGCTTAAGTAAGTGTATTTCAACATATTCTCTCTCATGCTGCTTCTGGAAGCTTCTGGTTATGGGGAGTGAGCGTGGAGGACAGAGGTGATGCTTCGACTGACTGAAGGACTCCTTGACAGTGTAGAGAAGGCACCTTCCTTGCAGGCAGCCATTCTGAAGATGTTAAGTTTTGTTTCCCTTAGGGATGGAGGCAGAAGCTCAAGTGGGGAACTGGAGGAGAGACGATGGTGTGGGAGAAGGGAAGAAGCCCCAGCCCTTCATGGTGGCAGTGTGGGGCTCTGAGAAGACTGGGCAGCTACACTGTCCTTGCCCAGGCCGGGAGCCAGGTCTGCCTCAGCTGTCTCCATAGCCCTGAGAGTAATGAAGGGACAGCCTGAGGTGTCCTGGGATCCCTGAGCCCTTCTTCCAGCCTTTCTCAACTGTGTCATCCATGAGGTGCTCCCACAGCACTGGACAGCTCGGCTGCAGCTGTTTCAGGTTGGTTATCGCCAGTTGTGTTGGGTTGTGTGAAAAGAGACAGCTGGCCACAGAAGAGTCCTGGGGTGAAACACATGAACCAACCAGGAGTGTTCTCCTTCCTGATCTCACTGCCTTGCCACAGGCAGCTGCTTGGCATGAGATTTCCCATGCCAAGTTGCATGTCAAAGCTTTCCCGCCCTCACTGGCAATCTCTCTAAGCCACGTTGTCACCCATTTTTCCATAGCCTTTAACAGACGTATATGAGCTGAACATTCATTTTACTTCCTTTGGGGGTAGGGGTAAAAACTGCCTTTTATTATAATCACTAAATACAATTTAAAAAATAGTCTTTTAAATACAGAAATGCATTGTAATCGAACAGGGCTCTTTATCTCATCCCAGGCTCATAGCTATGGTTTAGAAGTCGAGGTGCTTGGCAGGCCACTCATGCGGTGATGGAATTGGGAAAGCAGTATCTTTTAATCCTCTTGCTGGATGTCTGTGATCTTATCGGCAAGCCTCATTTGGCACTGAAGGAAAAAAGCTCTGGAATTTAAGACTCTTGGAATGAGAGCTGGGAACCCAAGATGGAGCACAGAGATGCAGTGGAATTCCCCTTTCACCTTCTCTGGAGTGCCCATGTGACGGTCTACACAGCCATGATCACTGAACCTGAATTGGGGATGGACATCTGCCTTCTTTCTTCCTCTCAACTCCCAAATTTAGTCTTTGCTAATTGCCCAGGGGCGCTAATCAAGGAGAAGGGGGACAGGGAAGCTCAGATACCTGTGGAAGAGGCAGTAATGTTAAAAAAGCAAATTCTGGAAGGAATACTGTGGACATGGCCTTTGAGCTCTTGGGACCCGTGATGCTCCAGCTTTGGCCCTTAGTCCTCTCTAGCAAACCACCAACTGCATATAGATTCCTGCCTCACCTTTCATGGGTCCAGGCCCAGTCACCTATAGGGTTTCTCTGAGACTCAAGGAGCTCTGCCCCAGGGTCCATCCTGCTATTGGCTGCTGGCCTCTGTGAGCACCTGCAGTGGCTTTGGTATTATAGGCTAAGCACCCAGTTCTGATGCCTGGCTGTCATTGTTCCTGGACTATAGGTTTGAAGCCTCATGGAATGTGGGAGCAAAACCAGATGCAATGATTTGGGGTGAGTTAGGGTAAAGAGGCTGCAAAACTCTGAGGGCTGGCAGGGTGGGGTGCCTGGCTGTAAGGTGGAGTAAGCCAGCTCAGGCTCTTTCTAGGAATTGTTGTGGCACCCCATGTGAGAGCAGGGGCAGTGCATCAACTTGGCTCACCAGTGCCACATCCCAGAGAAAGATTTAAGTTCCACAAGGATGCCAACGAGGGGTGCTGTGGATACTCCTCAGGACTAATGGTCTAGACAATGGAGCTAAGTAGAGAAGTCTACCTGGCCAGCAGGCAGGAGGAGTCAAAGATGGGGAGGGCTTCCAGAAAAATGCCCAGTTCTTCCCTGACCATCCCTTAGTAGAGGCTAGGCTCTTGGGTTAACTTTTTTCCCCCCACTGTGGTGCTGGGGATGGAACTAGTTAGGGCCTCAAGCACATTAGGCAAGTGCTCTCCCTCTGAGCTGCACTCCTGGCCCCCTGCACACCATTATCTCCTGAAGTACTTGGTGTCTTCCTCCAGATTTCCTTAGCAATGAGTCAATGGTGTCTTCCTGCTTCGTGGGTGGGTGGAGTGCTGGGCTCCATGGAGTGGCCTTTCCTGCACCACACCACGTGTGCAAGGGCCTGCCCAAGGCCAGCCCAGCTACTTTGGATGACTGGTCATTATTAGAATGCCTGACTTGGTGAAACAATTCCACCAGTTGAGGGCTTTATTTGGTTTTCTTTTTCTTTAATCATTTTTGGCTCTGCTATTCTTAAATAATATTTAATTCTGACCCCAGAGGTTAGTTCCTTCTCTTCCTTCAGACTTGGCATTTAGTCACTTTTTTAGTTCTGTTCCCCTGGAAACCAGATAAAAGCAGAGTGTCAATTGTTTCAAGGCAATATTTTTATTTTTTCCTTTCACTCAACTATTAATTTTTTGATTGGTATTTCATAGATATACATAAAGGTAGAATTCTCTGTGGTATTTTTACAGATGCACATAGTATGATTTTATCAAATTCATTCTACATTCCTTCCCCTCCTTTCCTGTCCCTCCTCCCTCCCTCTTGATCTCCTTCTTTTCCACTGATCTTCTCCATCTTTATGATATCTGATTTCTCCCATTTTGCTTTAGTTTCTGCCTATCAGAGAAAACATCTGACTCTTTTCTGTGTCTGGCTTATTTCATTTAGCTTGAGGTTCTCTGTTTCTACCCATTTACCAGACATGCCATAATTTCATTCTTTATGGCTGAATAAAACTCCATTGTGTATATATACCATTTTTTTAAAGAGAGAGTGAGAGGAGAGAGAGAGAGAGAGAGAGAGAGAGAGAGAATTTTTAATATTTATTTTTTAGTTTTCGGCAGACACAACATCTTTGTTGGTATGTGGTGCTGAGGATCGAACCCGGGCCGCACGCATGCCAGGCGAGCTCGCTACCACTTGAGCCACATCCCCAGCCATATATATATATATATATATATATATATATATATATATATATAATTTTAATCCATTCATTTATCAACAGGCCCCTGGGCTGGTTCCATAATTTGGCTATTATGAATTGTGCTGCTATAAACATTGATGTGGCTGCATCACTATAGTATGCCAATTTTAGTTCTTTTGGCTAAAGACCAGGGAGTACAGCTGGGTCATATAGTGGGTTCCATTCCTAGTTTTTTGAGGACTCTCCATACTACTTTCTAGAGTGGTTGTACTAATTTGCAGGTGTACCTTTTCCCTCATATCCTGGGGACCCTGGAAGCTATGCCTATCATATTGTTCAAAGAGATTTGAACATTTATTATCTGTATTCTTGATAATTGTTATTTTGACTGGAATGAGGTGAAATCTTAGTGTGGTTTTGATTTGCATTTTCCTGATTGCTAGAGTGAACATTTTTTCATATATTGTTGGTCATCTGTTACTTTTCTTGAGGAAATGTCTGTTTAGTTCTTTTGTAGGCTCTCTCTTCACATGCATTTCCTTTGCTGTGCAGAAGTTTGAAAATTTGATGACATCCCACTTATTGATTGTTGGTTTTATTACTTACACATTAGGAGTCTGGTTAAGGAAATTGGTGCCTGTGCCAGTATGTTGGAGTATTGACCCTATGTTTTCTTCTAGCAGTTTCAGTGTTCCTAGTCTAATTTATTAAGTCTGACCCATTTTGATATGACTTATGTGCCAATAGGTAGGAATCTAGTTTCACTCTTCTGCATATGGATATCCAGTGTTCCCAGCACCATTTGTTGAAAAGGTTGTCTTTTCTCCAACATGTTTTTGGCACCTTTGTGGGTATGTGAATTTGTCTCTTGTCAATTCCACTGGTCTTCTTGTCTACTTTGATGCCAATATCAATGCTGGTTTGGTTACTATAGCTCTGTGGTACAGGATCATGCACTGGGATGTCTTCAGCATTCCTCTTCTTGCTCAGGACTGTTTGGCTACTCTGGGTCTTATTCTTACAAATGAATTTCAGGACTTTTTTTTTTCTAGTTCTGTAAAAAATGTCATTGGTATATAAAAAAATTATTTTTAGTTGTAGACAGCCAGAAAACCTATATTTTTAAATTTTTATGTGGTGCTGAGGATTGAACCCAGTGCCTCACACATGTTAGGCAAGCGCTCTACCACTGAACTACAACCCCAGCTCCATCATTGACATTTTGATAGGGGTTGTACTGAATCTGTACAGTGCTTTGTGTAGTATGGCCACTTGGACAATATTTATTCTATCAAGGCACTATTTCTTATGGTAAAAATGTCCCCTACCTATAAATAAATTGGCCTCAGAATCCTAAACTATAGGCTTCTTGAGTGCAGTGCCTCAAAATGGCATGGCCCTCACAGGGAGCCTGGAAACTATGCCTATCATATTGTTGTTCAAAGAGATTTGGCAATCTTGGAGCATCATGCTTCTAAGCCAAGGTGAGTACTGCCTTCTCCTTGATGTCCATCCCCTGTACCTAAGCCATCACCTGGGCAACCAAGGAGAACAATTCTTGTTTATCCTGGTGACTATAGCCTCTGCAAGGCCTGCCTTGCCCCACCTGCTGGCAGCTGTTTCCTGTCTGAGGGCTTCAGACTGCATCTAGCCTCCCCTATGGGAGTCTTGAAATTGAACTCTTCCTTGGATGTAAGGTGAGGTATTGTACCCATTTTTAGCTGTGGAGTTTGGGCAATTACTTGAATTCTCTAAGCTGTCTTTGGGTTTATAAGATAGGGGAACATAGTTGTTATCCTAAAGGGTTGTGAAATTTAAATGAGATGATATACATAAAACCAGCACAATAAGCACTTTCAAAATTGAACATCAGTAAAGTGCCTACTCTTGGTGATGAGCAAGTGGGGGTGTCCATTCAGCTCCATGAGGCCCAGCCTCACAGCATGTCTGGCCTGCTCAGATACAGGTGTTAGCTTCAGGGTCTCGGTCTCTTGAGGTAGTAAGGAGGATGTTCAGAAGTTTGTTCCTCAAGTTCAGTCGGGCCCTCTTTGGGAGCATCTTGACTGAACAGCACAGCCACCCAGGGCCTGATGCTCAGGAGTATAGAAAAGAGGGACTATTGTAGTTTGGCAGCCTTGACCCTGGCTGCTTCAGTGACTGTGATTAGAACCTCACAGTAGCTAAGTGGACAGGATATGACCAGTTATTCATGCTATCAAGAACATCAAGAACTAGTCACTGGTGAAGGCTGGTAGAGCCTGCAGAAGTCTCATCCAAACCACTCATAGCCTGATGGGCCTAAAGGAGGGAAATGACCCACCCAAGGGTCTATAGCAAGCAGGCAAGAATCTTAGCCTTACAGTCAGGTAAGCTGGCTTCAAACTCTTCTTTGGCCTTTCCTGCCTGTGGGACCTGAACTTTTCCTTTGTCTATAAAGGGGGCTTGTTGTGAAGATTCAGTAAGATAAGTATAATTCCTAAAGAGCAGTTTGTGTGGCACAGGTTTATGCAAGTGTTGTTACTGTTATGGTCAGTGTTAGTCAACTGTCACTCTGACAAAATCCCTGAGAAAAACAACTTAGAGGAGGAAAGATTTATTTGGCGCCTGTTTTCAGTCCCTAGTTGGCCAAGTCAATTGCTCTGGGCCTGAGGTGAGGCAGAACATCATGGCAGACAGATTTGGTGGAGGAAAGCTGCTCAGCACACGACAGCCAAGAACAGAGCCAAAGACAAGATATAGTCCCCACGGGCCTGCCCCCAGGGGTACACTCCCTCCCACTATACCTGCTACAGTTTCTGCTACATCTTAAATTCATACAGCTAAGAATCCTTCAGTGGATTAATTCACTGATAAAGTTAGAGCCCTCATGATCCAGTCACATCCCCACCTCTGAACATTACAAGCCTTCACCACATGAGGCTCTGGGGGACGTTCCAGATCCAAACTATAACAGATTACACTGCASTGAGCAGTTGCTCCTTATACTTTCTCTCCAGCTCCTGAAAACCCTAAACTTTGTCATAAGCATGAGGGTGAGGATGAAGCCAGCTGAGGCTCTTCACAGTTGCTGGCTCTCATGCTACTTCTTACTGCCCCATATGGTGCAACTGCTAGGCTCCCCACTGTCCAGCTGCACCACAGCAAAGCCCTTTGAGGGCAGAGAATGGATTCACACAACTGTCCTGCTAGTCAGTTGCTGGGACCTTGGGGGCTTCTGGAAGCTAGCCTGTTGTGTAGGATTGCTGGGATTAGAAGAGCTCTTAGGGACCGTCTAGTCCAAGCTCCTCATTTTATGTATGTGAAAATCAAGATGGAGAGGAGAGTGATCTGCTCACTGAATGCAGACTGACTTAACTGTTAACTGATTAAAAAGACACTGGCATCTGTATTGGTTTTTATTTATAAACAAATTGACATAAAATAAGTCCAGATGGCAGCAGGAGCAGCTGAGCTGCTGACTTGCTTACAAGGAAGCACAGGACAGCGAGGAGGCAAACATTCCAGCCTAGAGACCCTCCCCCAACCACAGGGCCTTTTTGGCCTATAATCATTAGACCCAATCTTCTGCAGCAGTTCTGGTGAGGGTAAGGAACTGTGGTGGAGACCATGTGGGAGAGCTCCCATCCCGCAGGAGGGCTGGGGCTACAAATGGCCCACTGGGGGCAGAGAGAGACAGACAGTATGACCCTCTCCTCCCCATGGGAGCACGTGGGTCTGTCCATTCCAAAAAGAAGCACCCTAGGCAGTGTCCTCTGAAAAGGGGCTACACCCATTGGGGGCCTCTCTGGGACCAGGGCAGGGTAGTATCCCTACTCTCAAAACCCAGTGTCTGGTGCAAGAGAAGTATTACCCAGAGTGTCTGCCCAAGTCCAGAAACAATAAATTAGCAATAAGAAAAGATCTTTTTTAAAAAAGGTAAAGGTTTGCACCATGAGTTTGTGGAGTCTGGGATCTGGTGGGAAGGCAGGCACTGTGGGGCAGTGGGATGCCACACCAAACCCGGGAGGAGAGCGGCAGGGTAGGGGGGTCCAAGGGCTCTTCCTCTGCCACTTGGACGGTGCTCAGTCTAAATTCCTGGTGAGAGGATAGCTGGCTTAAAAAATAAATAGAGGGGACCTCAGAGCCATGGCAGGGCTGAGGGGAAGAGCAGCGCCAGCCCCAGGCCCATACTTGCCCCTCCTTGGTCCTTCATGGAAGGACTCATCATGGCAAGAGGGGTGGGGGTAGCAGTGGTGGCTCCACATAGCCTCCTGGAGTCCTGGAGTGGCCTGAGCTCCAGTGAGGTGCCTAGGAGCAGGCTGGTAGCCTTCTTCCAAGGAGAAGAATGCCCCATCTGCCCGACCACTCCATTGTCTAGGCTGTGCCTCCTGTTCAGAACTTGCCCTGCTTCAGCCGGTCAATGTGGAAGGAGAGCTTGAGTGCAGGCCCCAGCTTTAGACCCATGTACTTCATCATCATGTCACTGCGCAGCAGAAGCAGGGCCTTGCCATCGATCTCCTGGAGATGGGGGTAGGGGGGAGGTGCTATCAGAGGCCTAGTTGGTCTGACTGCCCCACRTTCTGATTAAAGGCCACCCACAGAAGTGCCAACTGCATGGAGTATGTCATGCTGCTGGGACACTGAAGCCTTCCTGTTCTCCCCCTTTGCCTCTGAGCATCCCTCTTCCCCAGGCATTGACTACCAAGCAGTCGCTTAGATCCTCACACAAGCTTGTACTGTGTCCCTGGGAGGTGGTTCCCCACCCTCCAAGCCTAAGACCCAGCTCAACTCCATCTCTTCCAGGAAACCTCCCAGTCTGTGTACCTGGCCTGTGTTTATACTGACCCTCAACTGCTATTCTGTGACTCATCAGCTCTCCTGAGCAGCAGAGACTCCTCTGTGTGAGCTGGGCCAAAGCAGAACTCACTGAACAGCTGCATGCCCTTCAGGCCTGTTCTAGTCACTGTGAAAACCTACCTGGTGTGAAAGACATAAAGGAGCAGTGACCTACTCTAAGTGCCCAAAGAAAGAAAAGTATCAAGCAGCACTGGCTGAGGAGATGCAGGCTTGAGACCCAAATCAGGAGTATGGTCAGAGCTGGGGGATCAGGGGCAATGCTGCCATGGAGCCAAAGGGTCACTTCAAGAGATGTTGAAGGCTCACAGAGGAGCAAGTAGATGATGGGGGACTGATAAGGTGTGTGTGTGGGGTCACTTGCTAGGAATTCTTTAAAAACTGGGCTAAGGCCCCTGATTCTCATGCAAAGGCAGGTGGGAAAGCAAACTTCTGGGAAAAGGGACTGAGGTCCCTGTGCTTGAAGCTGAGCCCCAGTCCACAAACCCAGCAGGAATGTGGCCAAATCATCCTACACTAATTGAATAAAGTGGACATAATGCCCAGTTGTCAGTCTGAGACCCCAGATTCTGTTTCTATGTTTCTATGGCATCTCCTGCATTCTGTTTCAAAGGACCTGGAACAAATGGATAGCTAATGCCCTTTAAAAGTCTACAGGCTACAGTGGCAAAATTTCTAGTACATGAGAGACGTCAGACAGAGGCACCTACATGTTTTCGAAAGAGGTCAGCATGGGGTCCAAGCTGAGGATCAGCTTCCCGGACAAACTGCATCACGTCCTCGACTGTCCATGAGGAGGGGTCCCGGCTACTCAGTCGAGAGGCTTCCCGGCTTTCCAGGTATCGGTCAGACCCTGCAGGAGAGGAAGGCGCCTACCATAGCGGGTGGGTATGTCCTCACCACTCCCTGGGCATACTCAGTGGCCTTGCAGGGGATGTGCTCGGCGGCAGTCGAGCATGAGCAGAGGGACTGAGGCAGCCTTGGGAGTCATGAGTTTTTCCACAGAAGGAAAGTCAAATTGACTTTAATAGAGGACCTTGTATGCCACTAAAAACCACTGGCTCTTCTCAGTGACAGGTAGGTTTGAGCAGAGGAGTGATACACACCATCTCAAAATCAAAAGGATCCTTTCAAGGTCCATGTGGATGACACATATTAGAAGGGAAGGAGTGAAACAAGAGACCAGTTAAAAAAGAAACTATAAAAATCCAGGCAGGAGACAGCTATGGTCTAAACCAGGGTGGTGGTGGAGAAAAGTGATCAGATAGGTGATCAGTATTCCAAATTATAAAGAACCTCACCATTGTCAGTTCAAGTCACCTTTAAAACAACCCTTGAAGGAGGTCCTTGCCATCTTTAGTTTAAAGAGAAGGGAACCCAGGTCCAGAGAGGTAAAGAAACTTGCCCAAGACCATAAAGCTAGGAAGGAGATGCTTTAGTGCCCTGGCTCTGTCTTCTACTCGCATTTCTGCAGATAGTTTATCTCAGGCCCCTGCTTCTCACCCTAATATGTACAACTGGTGGCTGCCCTTCAAGGAAGGCTGCTTGTCTCTGTGACTAACTGAGGCAGGTGAGGCACATCCATAAGAGACCAGACTAACAAACCCATAATTAATCTGGATTAATGAAAGAAGATGGGATAGACTCAATATCTAAATTCTTTGAAACAAATAATTCTAGAGCCAAATAGAATCCTCTAGTCTTACAAAGGTTTTCAGGGTCAAAGAGGTTTAGACCATGACCTGGCAGACAGACTCACAATGTGTTCCATAGGAAGAGTGGAGATCCTAGGAGGCCACAGTGCCATCTGAAGCCAGCGTCATGAGAGGAACCTATCTCAAAGCACCACCCAGAAACAGGCCTTGGGGAAGACAACAATCACAGAAAATCCCTACATACCTGGGGAATGATTTAGTTTCCAAAATGATTCCATACCCCTTCTTTCATTTGATCCTTTTAACACTCCTGTGGAAAGACCAGGTTGGTATCAGCAGCATATCTATTTCCCACATGAGGAATACTTTGCATATGGGAGACCTGAGAGGTGGGACAACTTACCCAAGTCACAAGGCAGAGGAGGTGAGGCTAGAATCAGCTCTCAGCTCAACCTCTACTTGAGGTCTCTTTCTATCCCATTTTGCCACCTGGCTGGGGTGGGGGTGGGGAGATACCACAGGCTTCTTCTCCTGACTCAGTCTTCATGAAAACTCTCTTTCTCCCCAGGTCACCTTTCATTGCTGATCTTGCTGATGGAGTCTATTTTTTTTCATACCTCACATGTCCCTGGGCTGGGGGAGGCCAAGCTGGGGGTATGGAGGTGGCATATTCCTGCTTCCCCAATCTAAGATCATCCACCTATGAAATGTTCTTCAGAGGCCAAAAATGGACCTAATCATCTGCTTTTCCTGGTCACAGTTATATAACAGATCTCTAAGTTACTACCCCTTGTTAAATGAAGACCTTTTGGTACTTGCTCACACTTTCTGTCCCACACCAATTCCTTCCATTATCCTTAGAAGTGATCCATTTAACTACCATGACTCCAGCGACTTTCACCTCTACTCTACTTCAAATTCCTACTGCCAAGGCCACTGTCTGGTTCTTGCCATCACTTGGAACAAGTCTACTTCAGAATTTTATTTTTTGGTAGTAGGAATTGAACCTAGGGTCCTTAACCACTGAGCAACCCACTCAGATCTTTTTTTTTTTTTAGACAGGGCCTTGCTAAGTTGTTGAGGCTGGCCTTGAACTTGTGATCAGTCTCCAGAGGTACTGGGATTATAGGCATGTGCTACCATACCCAGCAACTTCAGAATTTTAAACATTCCATTTGCTGACACCAACCTCTCATCTTTGTAACTCTCTTGAGACTTACACGTTCAGTACAAGCATTGCATCACATTCTTCAGCATTGTCCACAACCAGTAGCTGATGACCTTACTCACTCTCCTTCTAGCTCCACTGATTTCCTTACATATGCTCCATTCCTGCCCCATCTTGCCTTACTAGCTTAACTTAAAACCCTATTCTCAAACTGTCTTTTCTCATTCCATATCTAGATTACTAATAACCACAGAAGAAAACCACAGCTCTGTAAACTGGCATTCTATTTCTCCAAGCATAGTTGGGCCCCTGATGTTTCCTGTAAATCCTCCCTTACTAGATCCATTTCTCCTAGACTGGTCCAATCTTTCAGCACTCCTAAGCCCTCCCCTACTCAGCCCTCTCTTTGTCCACTGATGGACATGATCTTCCTTCTTACCCTAGAGAAGGTGTATTCCCCCCGGCTTAAGCCTGAACCACCTGTCTATGTCTTTGATTTTTCTTCCTTCCCACTACCTGCAAGGTTTTCTCCTCTTCCCTATATTCTTTTAACTTTTTGGAAAGCTCAAGTTGTCTACTGACAAACATGCTTGAGTATTCCCACTCTAAAAGAACTTCTTTTGAATTATAGGCCCTTGCTGACCCTCGAACTGGCTCCCTCTGTTCCTATTTTTCCATGGTTGGTTCTCTTTTGGTGAATGGCACTGCCTTCCCTCCAGCCACCACAGACAGACATCTAAACCTGGAAGACATTCTCCACTCCCTCCTTTCTCACAATCCTTAGCTCTGACAACATTTATCTCACGGATAACTTTCTTTTGTTTCTAAACCTCTTTCACTGATTCAGGCTGTTTTCATTCTGGTTGGCCCACTCTTGTAAATCTGGTAACTGGTCTTCTAGTATGTCCCTCCTCAAGTCCATACACAGTATAGAAGGCAGAATCCTGCTGGAAACACAAACTTGGTCTATGCCTTGTCTCTAAGTAAAAGCCTCTGGTAGCTTCACATTGCCTGCAAGATAATGTTAAAACTTATGGCATGGCATGTAAGGTCTCCAGTGATACATGCTCTGACCCTTCCAGGCTTTGCTCTATGAAGCCCTGTTATCACATTTATGTTTCAGCAATATAAAACTGCACACACTTCTGGGGCCACCCATATTATCTCCTATCCCTTTGTCCTTGCATATCTCCTCTTCCTGGATCCCTCTTACCCTTCATGACTATTCACACAGTTTTAGACAAGGTACCACTTGCTCAAGGAAGCTTCCCTTAAATGCCAAGCTGGATTAGGTGTCTCTTCTCGCAGTTTCCATACTATTCAAAGCATATCTGTCACTGCATTCGATATTGTTTTATAATTATCTTTTTAAGTGTTTGTCTCCCTTACAAGACAAAAAGTGATTTCTTTTTTATATACTCCCACCAAACACATGGAATGAGTCTTTCCTGTTTCTTTTGTCTCCCAGTCTTTGGCTTTTAGTTTCTACTATTCTCAAGTTAACCTCAGATTCCAATTGCTTTCCAGGTGCCTGATATCAAGCATAATAGTGGGTTCAGCCCCAGTCCCACCACCATACAGGGGGCAACAGAGCTAGGTTCCCTCTGGCTTCCCAGAGTTGAGGAGGAAGGAAAAGAGGAGGGAGGGAGGGAGACAGAAGGCCCCAAACTTTGGTCATCTTACCCCTGGAGCATAGCCTGCGTACGGCTGAGGCAGTGCTCTGTGGGAGGCCGCAGGAAGGAAGCAAGGGCCGGTACCCAGAAGTTCGAAGATTCTGGGAGGTACTGACAAGGTTGGTAGGATTCAACGTAGAGTCCATTGAGTCTGTGTGTGGTGCTAAGGACCGGGCCAGACTATTCCCCAAGACAAAGGTTTCACCTGGAAAACAATACAACCAGGGGTAGAGCAGGGGTGAGCTTTCAGAGTGTTGGTTCTCAATACCAGCTGAGAGGGACAAGAGGCAACAAGACATAAATCCTTGGCTGGGACTCAGGAGACCTGTGTGTCAGTCATGGCCCCAACTCTCACCAGGTGTCCTTAACCAAACTCAGTGTCACATTCTGGACTTTGGCTTGCTTAAAGACTCCTCTTCTTAGACTGGATAGTCTTTAAGATTTTTTTTCTGCCTGGATGTCCTAAGATTTTACAGATAAAGAGAAAAACTTTATTTAAAAAATGGAGTCTCTCTAGCATGGAAGAAACTGCCTTAGTCACAAGGTGCTCTAGAGCAGGGATAGGGGTGCCACTAGCTATYACCAGAAGGGATACATTTGCTCAGAAGAGGGTCCTTTAGAAGCTGACCTCTGCTGAACCACCAGGACATCTCAGAAATGATGCTTGATGCCCAGTTAAAGGCCTGTCTGTAAAGGATCATCTGCTCCTACTTTGTTCCCTCCGTTTTTATTTACCCTGTTCAACAGAAACTTTCCAGGGAAGCTTGGGTTGTACACTGGGGAAAGCTTGGGCTTGGAGATGAGGATCAGGGTTAGAATTTGACTCTGCCACTTGGCAGAGTGCTTCCCTGAAAACCTGTCTCCTCACCTATACCATGGGAAAGCCATCTACATAAGGGGTAGCCTTACAAGGGGCTGGAGAATGTCAGAAATGAATGGCTATGAAAGCCATTGAAAAGGAATCTCACCCTGATGTTTCTATACCTGGCCCATGTCCCAGCATCAGGCAGCAGCATGCAATCACAGCACTCAGGAACCCAAAGCTGACACCCTCTTGTAACCAGCTTCTACCTAGGCCAAGTTAGTTCTTCAGCTCTGTCCACTGCATCCTCTGTAGGGGGAGGGGGTCCTGGGTACCAGACCATATCAGTGTTCTTCATGATTTTTAGAATCAAGTGTGTGGATAATGCTTGGGATTCATTCAGGGACTCTGATAAACAATAAATTTGTTTTCTGACACACAATAAGACCTCACTGGCAAGATGATTTAAAATTTTAGGACAACTTCCTAATACCTAAAACTGGTCAGCGATCATGTGCTCAAAGTCGAATCTGGCATCAGATAGCTTATTCCTCTTCACAGGGAGGTTAATTGTGGATGCCCTTTCCTAGGAGGAGTTCTGAAAGAAGTCTCTGAGGCTCCAGGATCCCTACACCATGCCTACTTTTTTTCTGCAGATGAGGCTTCTGATTTTCCAGAAATCTGTAGCAGTTCCACTTTGAGACATGAACCAACCAAGAAGTGGGAGACCTGGATTCTACACCTGGCTTCTGCCTTTCACTAGGTATGTTATCCTAGGCAAGTTGCTTTTGTTCTCTGAGYACCAGTTTCCTCATGTGTAAAATTTGGGAAAACCATTCTGTACTACAGAGAACATTAAAATGAGAACATGGAAGAGGTTGTGAGAAACTGTTACTTTGTTATTATTCATAGTTGGAGCAGCAAATCAAACTTTGAAAAAAAATTGTTTTGATCTAATTTCTGCAGTTCTCAGTAGAGTCACCTCACCCTTCCAGCCATTCAATAGAGTCACATCACCCTTCCAGCCATTCCACCCTTCCAGGCCTGCTGCTGTCTGCCTCAGAGGCCAACAGCTGTGACACATGATCATGACAACAGTGCCAGTGCTCACCAGATGCGATGCAGACCAGTGGGAATCTCTTTCTTTCAGCAGCACCAAGGATGCTGAGATCTGGATTGTGATTTGAGGGGTCTGAACATCTGGATGGTGGCATCTGGACTAGGCAAGATCATTAAATCTTGTCCTAATGAGATATACTAGAAAAATTAAGCATCATGCCAAAGCTCTGAGAGGCCCTAGACATTTTAAGGCTGATCTTATGGGTCCTGCTGCTTTTGGGTAGGACAAGGTCAGGGTAGAAGACCACAGCGATACTTTCCAATTGTGCTCACAGAATCTGTGGATCCTCCACAGGGAGGCTCTGGGCCTCATTCCAGTTTCTATTAATTTTTATACACTGGAGGCTAATGTAATCTTACCTTTGCAAAAAAAAAAAATTACTACTAAAACAAGTTTCACTGGTTCAGGTATCTGAGGTTAGGGCTGGAAGATGAGTTCTACTTCTAGAATGATCATTTGTCAATCATCAGTGCCTTTTTCTGAGATTCAGTTTGCCCATCTATAAGATGGAGATGAAAAATCTTTAGTCTTCTACGATCAATGTAAATTAAATTTATTGTTGCTATGCTGGAGACACGACAGCAATCATCATTCAACAAGTAGTGGAATGATGCTGCCACTCTATTGGGTACAGGGAAATAGGCGGGGAGGCCCTTACCCATGTACTCACTTTCAGGGAGAAGCAAAGTGACTTGAGAATTAAATGGTGGAGAGGAGACTAGAGATCATGGCCATGGGGAAAGGGCACGGGGAGGCAAGTGTTCTGGAGAAAAGTCATGGGAGACAAATACCCCAATGGCAGCTTGGGCAGGGAACAGGGCTACAGATAGCTTTTGTTCTTTTGGAATGCAGAAAGTAGAACAAGGGGCAGGAGTTAAAAGAAGGCAGATTTCAGCTCACAAAAGGAAGGCATTTTAGCTGGGTGTCGTGGCACACACCTGTAATCCCAGTGCCTTGGGAGGCTGAGGCAGTTCAAAGCCAGCCTCAGTAACTTAATGAGGCCCTAAGCAACTCAGTGATATCCTTTCTCAAAATAAAAAATAAAAAGGGCTGGGGATATGGCTTAGTTGTTAAGTGCCCCTGGGGTTAGTTTTTGGTACAAAAAAATAAATAAAATAGGCATTTTAGATTTTAGTCTGAAAATAAAATCAACTGCCAAAAAAAAAAAAAAAATGAGCAACCTGTCATTGGGAGTATTTAAGCAGAGGTCAGAAAAGCACTCAGTGACCTCTACGGCATTTTCTACTTCTGAGGTTCAAGGATTCCATGTTCACACCTACCTCTCCCCTGTAGAATGAACTGAGTGAGTATGGAACTAGAGCTGTGGATCTAAGAAAATTCTCAGACCAGCACAGGACTTGGAGATACAAGCACAATCCTCGTGCAAGCTGAAGGTGTTAAAAAGCATCCCTTTCTGAACCATGTGGCCCACATCTTCTCCTGCCTATTCACCCATAAATCCTGTTAAATACCATGTGACAATTAAAGTGATGGACACTGAGAATGGTAAACACAAGACTGTTATTCAACTCATGAAACTTTTAGTCTAGTGAGAAGGATGAAAAAAAATGCAGGTAAGTTAAAAAATTAACTCTTATAAATATCACAAAGGAAAGGAATGGGGCATCCAGCCAGACAATAACAGGGGAGTCCTTTTAGATGAGGAGACCAAGTTTCTCCCTTACAAACTTGATGTTTAAGCTGGTCTGCAGAAGAGTACAGCCATCTGGGAACTGCACATGTGGCAGACAATGTGCTTCGATTAACCACAAACGTGTGATTCCTGAAAACTCTTGACAATTCCATGAGGAAACCTACGTGGTGATGAGAGGCACCCTGAGAGACTTCATAGTTCTTACTTGGCTTTAATCTCGGTGAGTCTTGGGATTTGGGCAGAAGAACCACTTTATCACTAACTCTGGAGATCAGGATGGCAACTAGAAAGAAAGGCACAAGAAACTCATTGTCCTGGAACATGGGAAATCTCAAAATAGCAGACCCACAGGTTAATTCTAGATGGACTTCAGTTATAGCTAAAAAATAGTTACTGCTAAAACCAACAGTTGGTGGGGCCCATCACTATCAATTTTTAGGGGACCTGAAGGAGCCCCTCTAACTTAGTCTACATAAGACTTGTCCTTGATTCAGTAAATGTGGTCCTAAAAAAGGGACTCTGCTCTAACACTGACTTCCCCAGAAATCTTCTCCCCTTTCCTTTCAACCCAGTAATTGTTCATCACAACTGTCTATGTCAGAATACCTCAGGTCCATGCTCTTAATCACGTCCACATCCCACATCTCTCCCTTTCTCAGCTCTTTGAGCCCAGGGGTTGAGTCTGTTTCATCTCTGTATTCCTAGAGTCCAGTATAAAATCTAAGACAGAATGAGTATTTAATAAATGTTTGATGACTTAAACAGCTGGCCTGGTCCCTCAAAATGTCCATGTCATGTCATGGAAGATAAAGACAAAAGAACTACTGTAGTTAAAGGAAGCTAAGGAGACAGCACAATGAAATGCAGTGGATGATCCTTCATTGGATCTTGGATTGAAAATAAATAGCTATAAAGGACATCACTGGGACCACTGGGGAAAATTATGATATAGATTGCATATTAGCCAGTATTTTCTTATTTCTTGCATTTAAAAAAATATTTATTTTTTAGTTGTACACAGTACCTTTATTTTGTTAATTTATTTTTATGTGGTGCTGAGGATCGAACCCAGGGCCTCACACGTGCTAGGTGAGTGCTCTACCGCTGAGCCACAACCCCAGCCCCAAATTTCTTGCATTTTTTATGTTAAATTCTTATTTTAAAGAGAGATAGACAAAGGTATTTAAAGGTAAACTTTCTCATCTGTAGTTAACTCTCAAATGATTCAGTAAATAAACACACATACATATGCATACGTGTGTGTGTATATATATGTATATATATGTATATATACACACACATATATAATATACATACACAAAAGTGTATATATATTATAGAAGACAAAAGTTTGTATATACTCATACAGGAAGAGAAAAAATAAATATTGCAAACTTAAGTGATAGTACAATGAGAAACCATGAAGGGTGCATGGTTTCTCATTGTACTATTTTTTTACAAGTTTTCTATAGGTTTGAAAGTTTTCAAAATAAAATAATGAGAAAGTAATTGTCTCAATTTAGGAATTTAGACAAGGAAACTGAATCCAAGATGAAGTCTACCTGAGCTTTTGGTGGCTGTCTGCCATGTTAGAAGTGTACAACCAGTTAGGCCAAGATCATAGTGGTAGGGTACTGTGGAGACAAGCTGGAAGGGAGAGAGCTGTAGTATGCACCCAGAAAACATAGGTGGTACCTACAGATGTCAAACTAGTAGAAATATGTAGTCAGGTACACGGGCAGGAGTGATAAATATCAAATCCAAAGGGCAAAGCAAAAGACAACTCTTGTACCATTAAGCTCAGTTATCAGAACAACACAAGAACCAATAAAGGACCAGGAACAGAGAAAAGGGTCACTAAAGCAGGCAAGCAAGCAAGATAATTTATGAGGCACAGAGGAGTTAGGAATCCAGGCAAGGCTCTGACTTTTCTGAGCACAGTTAAAAGGCTCATTCAAGGAAGCAAATAGAAACCATGGTGGGAGCAGAAAATTTGATGAGCACCCACTATAAGGAAATTGAGCTTAGAGAGTAAACAAGGCCACAGAGTTGGCTCTTTATCTGTCTGAAAGTGGGAGACGGGAAAGGAGACAGAAAATGAGAAAAATGACACCCTATTCATTGTCTCTTTCTTAGCTGGTAGAGCAGGAAGAGTCTGGCTGAAGCTTGCTCCTCTTATCTGGTAGATGAATCAGATAGAAGTAAACTGGAACAGAATTCCCAGGAAAGGTCATATTCCAGTCCCAAACCACATTCATGACTTTAGGCCCAGTTTCTGAATGCTGCTGCCAGTATACTTTTTCAGAGTTCTTAATGACAGTATTCCACTTAAAAATTCTGAGATCCTATTTATTTCAGAAGCATTTTTGTGGACAAGCTACCCACTCTTATGTATCCCTGCTTTTAGAATCAGGTAGGCCCAGCTTTCATGATAGAAATGCAGCTCAGAATTTCTCAATAGCTGCAGATATTTAAAAACTTGCCTTTGTTTGTACCAACTCCACCGTGTCTTGTGCAACATTCTAACTGCAGGTAAGAATACCTTTTCTGTTCTCAAAAAATCTAATGCTGAAAGGAAGCAATCTAGAGCAGGTTGGGTGAGAAGTTCATCCTGAAGAAAAGAACCAGACATGAGGCACAGACACGGCTGCAGGGACCAGATGGTCTGMCGCCCACAGGAATATTTACAATTCAGCTATCTTTTGTCCCACCTGCAAGTCATACAAGTAAGGCTCATTTGGGTGCAGAAGTATAGATGGGGCAGGGGAGAAAAGGACTGGGCAAATAAATGGTCACTTCCCTGAGACATTCTCCAGAAGTAGCACTTAAGTCAGAAGTGGTCCATTAAAACTACACTGAAAGAAAGAAGAGAGAAGACGCCTCAGGAACAAGCATTGAGGGGCACCTTTCAGACCTGTGCTTTCTTTCCCAAGGGTAGACAGCACAACCCCATACTGACCACACCTCTTCTCAGCTCTTCGGCTTGGGACATGGTCCACAGATGTCTTTTAAAAGGCCTTTCTCCCTTTCAACAGTGACCTACCTTGCTATGTTAGGCTGAGCTTTCCTTCACCCACTCTGTTCTGCGTCCTGAACTCCAGATTAGAGATGTGAGTTCCATTCACTCTTCAACCTCTCTTGGAAGTGCTTAGTCACTGACCTAGCCACGTGGCATCCGCTTTCCCATTGTGAGTCTGGTATGTTAAACTAAAAAAGTTATTTTCCGGCCTAGTTGGAAATAGCAGGAACTTGAATTGACTTGCTAGACTGGCAGTGCTAAAAGAGTTAGGGCCATGTGCCAAAGGAAAGAATGGATGGCCAATCACCAGGGAGCAAGTTTTTCAATCTCCAGCCTGAGACTAAACCTTCCTGCTGGCGAGAAAGAGCTGTGTTAGACCTTTGCTGCCAGCTTCACCCTGGGAAGTACACTGTGATTTCACAGTGGTTCCAAATGCTGTTTGGAGCTCAGAAGGGGGGATTTATAAGCCAGCTTTTCCTAGGGATAAGGGTCCAAAGGAAAGAAGAGTAATCAAGAACAGAAGACAAAATCCTAAAGCATAAAGATATTAAGAAATCAAAACCTCCCAGATGTGTTGCAGATGTGGACAGAAAGATGTCAGGCTAGCAGGTCTGAGAACTGGCCCTAGAAGGTGCTGCTGCCAGTCCTACCCCCCTCTCAGCCCAGGTCCCATCCCAACTCCTACCTGGTAGGTACCTGTCGTGGCTGTGGCTGTACTCTGTGGCAGTGAGTGATAAGTGAGTCTGTGTAAAGGGCTGGTTGCCAAACAGATTGTCACTATGAAGGTTGTGGCAGAGCTTCTCCAGGAAGCGGAGGACATAGGTGATGCTGTTGACTGCTGGGAGGTTGAGGGTGTGCTGTTCTCGGTCAAACACGGCTGTGGAGTTAAGTAAATAGAACCATGCACGTCAGCCGAGCAGCACAGTGCAGCATGGTGCAGGGCAGGGGTTGTCCAGCCAGCTGCTGTCTTGGGCTTACCTGGTTACACAAAGGCAATCAGTGCTCAGGCTGCTCTCTCCCTCCCTTTCCCTCCCTCCCTGGAGGGCTTTGATTTTTGCCTTCAACTCCAAAGGGCAAGCAATAATGGGAGTGGCCAGGCCAAGTCTGTTGCACCCTTAGGGCTCTGGAATGATTTCACTCAACCTGTGAAAACAACTGTGAACATAATTCTATCTGCTCCATCACTTGATTGAGGCTCTTCCAGGAAATCTGTTCATTTAGGAAGCTGTTTTCACAAGAATTGCCCAAGAACAGAAAAGCTGGGCAGAAGAGGAGAATATAGCCATCACTAGCAATGGCTTGGGTACACAATTTCCAATCTATATAAAAGCACTGAATTTTGGCAACATTTGAAACTGTTTCACGATTGATTTTATTATACTTCCTATTTCTACTAAAAATATCAGCATAAAATTTGAAAAGCAAAAGGTCTGAGTATATGGCTCTGAAGGCAGTGAATAAATGGAGACTTGGGTATAAACAGGTCACTCTCAGGAACCAGCAGGGTTAGAGCAGCTAAAGAGGAGGTAAAGGTCAGTCCCTTCAGGTTACTGCACAGAAGCAAATGAGAGGCTTGAGAGTGGCCTAGCCTCAGAAGGGACATGGGCTTAATTTCCCAACAGTTTCCAGCCTTCTAGAACATTTCCCTCCCTGTCTGTCCTCATCTTCCATGAAGTCAATTACTCCCTAGCATGGGTTCCCACACTATTCTCTATTAAAAAACTTGTCACAATTAGCTGTTTTGATTCTTTCTTTCCCCCTGTGCAGACCTGAGTCTCTTCTATTATTCCCCTTTCCTAGCTAGTATCTGGCAATAACCTCTCACATATGGTCAGGGCTCCATAAATGTTTGCTAAAAGAATAGTTTGGTGATTTATGGGGTTTTCCATGTCAGCTGGGTTTCCTGAAGCTGGTTATGGTAACTCATTAGGGAGGAAGAACAGGGTATTGTAGAATAGCATTATAGTTAAGACTGGAAGGCTTTAGGTCAAGGCTTCATAGGTTTGATGAGAAAGAATACTAAAAAGAACTCTACTGTTATGTATAACTAAATACCCTAATAAAGACATTTAACGCCCCCCCCYWAAAAAAAAAAAAAAAACCACCAAGAGAATTTTGGACTTAGGAAAATTGAAACAGAAGCAGGGCACATGAGAAAAAGTAAATACTCTCAGTGAGAGCAAAAAACTACTGTTGAATCAAATTGTCAGTAGAAAAGAAAGTGAATGCCATTTCCGGCTCTGACACAGCTCCCTTGTATGTGCCTGGTTTAGGAACCGGAAACAAAGAAGTCAGAAAAATGAGAGAAGGTCAGTAATTCCCTAAAACCAGTATGGAGACTATGGCACTCTGGAGAAACTCCTGTTGCCACAACCAAGCCCCTCAAACTACTCCTTCTGAAATGCCTTTAAAGCCACATACTTATTTATTTTCTGTATGGGAGAGTAAGCCAGGAGACAGGAGTGATACCAGAAACTCAGGCAGAGTTAGCTTGAGTATTCCTGGAGGAGGTATGCATAAGGCTCAGAGGAATGGGACACTTTCACATTTTTCCAGAGCCTATGGGTATCAAGTAGAAACCAGGATGCCTTGTCAGAAATCAGTTAAGTAGGCCTGCACTCTGGCTATGAGTTCACATTAGCCCAAGGGTGCTTACCTGAGATGACCTCACCACCATGGCCCTGTTTGAGGAAGCTGAAGACAGTTTTCTGGTGATAAGCACAGTCGATGCATGCCTGGACAGCCTGCTGCAATACCACAGAGGCACGGGCTGGCCCAAAATGGTCAGGGAGCTGTTGGATCTTCTTCTTATCTAAGTGAGGGCCTGGGCTGCCATTCTTGTTCAAGTAGATACAAACTACAGGAGACAAAAAATCCAAGAACCTTATAGAGTGTCTGGCACAGAGAATTCAAAAGGACAGTGTTCTCTTCCACTTTTTTATTAATTATTTTTCTTAGTTGTAGATGGACAGAATGCCTTTATTTTATTTGTTTTATTTTTATGTGGTGCTGAGGATAGAACCCAGTGCTTCTCACATGCTAGGCAAGGGCTCTGCCACTGAGCTACAGTTCCAGCCCCTCTCTTGCATTTATTATGCCCTGAGCTTTGATCCCCACTAGGAGTCTCAGCAGGTTTCCGTTTGAAACACTGCAAGGGATAAACGGTGAGGGTCAAGTTACCAGCAGACTAAATTGCATGACCAAGGGCTCTGGGAATACAGCCTTGCTGGAAGAATAGCCCAGAGCAAAAACCAAAGGACAGAATTTGTACTTTGTCTTCTATGTTTTGAAAAACAAAACAAAACAAAAAAACCTCAACATTTCCCCAGATGTATGAACTTTCATTTTTTGTACTTGGTTGCCTTATAAATTCTTTACACCTTTCAACTTGTATCTATGTAAGGAGCTGTGGGACCATGGTAATAATAGCAAGAGAGTGCTCATGTATGTGTATATTTGGTATTGGACATAGAATCATCACAACCACTGGTCACTTGCCTTGTTTTCTATTCTGGGCCTTATAATTTTTTACTATCTTCTACATCAATAATCAGACCCCAAAAGAGTAATACAAATAGAAAAGAATAAAATAAAATATAGAAAAATAATATGAAAAGGGTCTATAAGACTCATGTATATATTCTTTCTCTCAGAAGTTCTCCTGTCAAGATTGCTGGGCACTCCATCTTGGTTGCTGACCTCCATGTGGCACTGGTGGTGGTGGGGTTCAGGGCAAAGGAGATGGAAGCCATTCTAAATGCTGTTGTGTCCTTGGCCTCTGGGAAGGACCTACATCAGCTTGGTCAGTAATGACATTCTCTCTCCTGATGTCCTTTCAGGCTTCTACTGAGTAGTAGGTACTGTTCTTACTTGCACTGAGTGGGTAGGAGGGCAAAAATCTCCTTTGCTATTAAAGGCAAATAGGGTCAGGGCACTAGTTATGTGGGCTGCTGGATAAACTGCCATCCTCTTTGGGTCTCAGGTTCATTGTCTATAAAGATGAGGTGGTTGAACTAGATGCTCTCTGAGGAATCTCCACCTGTATAGCTCTAAAGAGAAGCAATATGAAGAGGAAAAAAAAAAAGAAAGGAAAACAGAAAGAAGGTAAGCTGTATGAGGAAGGTAATGGGAGAAAAAGGAAAAAATCATAAATAAGATAAATTGAACATATACATTTCACTCTATTCTCTCCTAATTCTGAGACAACAATAACATTTTGGAAGTTGGAAAGCAGATTGGAAAAGTTGCAACTAGAGCCGGGGGTGGTGGTTTGCCTGGGATTCCAGTAACCTGGAAGGCTGAGGTGTAGGACCACATGTCCAAGGGGTTTGAGAGCCACCTGGGCACATAGCAAGATATCTCAAAACAAACACACAAAAAAAGAACAGAAGTAGTACTGACTTGGTATATACAAGAAAGAATAATTCCTTCAAGCAAGAATGGGGAATGATGAGAACCAAGCTGTTTTATCCCCTAATTACAAAGGCCTAAGTTTTGGCAAAATGGTAACTCTGAAAGTGAATATAAAGTATATTTAATAAAAGAAGGCTCAGTTGAGGTATGTTAAAGAAAGTGAGGATTTCTATGTCTAATAATATGATTCTTCTACTAAAACCACTTAAACACAAACACACATATAAGTATTAAAGTATTAAAAATAAGTGTATTAAAAGTAAGTGACAACAAATGGCTACAAAAAGACACTTATAAGAATGCTCAAATTAACTCCAAATTAGAACCAAATACCTATCAACAGATATACAAATTGTGGTATAGTTATTTAATAGAATATCACCTGGAAATAAAAAAAAAAAAAGAACCACTGACAGGAGCAACAATATAGGTGCTACTCAGAAATATTATTTGGAATGAAAGAAACAAAATACAAAAGTACACGTAGCATGTTTCATTCATATTCAGTTCAAGAACGGGAAAACCGGGCTGGGGATGTGGCTCAAGTGGTAGCACACTCGCCTGGCATGAGTGCGACTCGGGTTCGATCCTCAGCACCACATACAAACAAAGATGTTGTGTCCGCCGATAACTAAAAAATAAATATTAAAATTCTCTCTCTCTCCCTCTCCCTCTCTCACTCTCTCTGGTTTTCCCGTTCTTTTTTTTTTTTTTTTTTTTTAAAGAGAGAGTGGTAAAAATCAGAATCTACATGGAACAGAGACTGACTGGGAGGAGGCCTGAGGGGACTTCTGTGGTGGCAGAAACATCTTACATCTTGATCAGAGTTGTAGTTACAGGGGTGCTGACATTATTAAAGTTCATCCAAGTGTACACTTAAGATTATATATTTCATGAATACAAACTTAGATGTTGTGTCCGCCGATAACTAAAAAATAAATATTAAAATTCTCTCTCTCTCCCTCTCCCTCTCTCACTCTCTCTGGTTTTCTTTTTTTTTTTTTTTTTTTTTTTTTTTAAAGAGAGAGTGGTAAAAATCAGAATCTACATGGAACAGAGACTGACTGGGAGGAGGCCTGAGGGGACTTCTGTGGTGGCAGAAACATCTTACATCTTGATCAGAGTTGTAGTTACAGGGGTGCTGACATTATTAAAGTTCATCCAAGTGTACACTTAAGATTATATATTTCATGAATACAAACTTTATCTCAATTAAAACATACAAAGGAAAAAATATAACTAGCTTGGTGTTACAGATTAGATATGCAGTATCCTCAAAAAGCTCATGTGTGAGACAATACGAGTATATTCAGAGGCAAAATTATTAGGTTATGAGAGCCTTAACATAATCAGTCAATCAGTCCACTGATATGGATTAACTAGGTGATTAGGTGGTAATTGTAGGGAGGTAGGCTGTGGCTGGAGGAGGTGAGCCACTGCAGGTGTGCTTTTGGTACTTATATTTTGTCCCTGGTGAGCAGAGCTCTCTCTGCTTCTTGTGTCATGTCCTGTGCAGATTTCTTCTGCCATGCCTTTCCACCAGGATATTCTGCCTCATCCTGGCCATCTATGGACAAAGACCTCTGAAACTGTGAGCCAAAATAAACTTCCTCATCTAACTGTTCCTGTCAGATCATTTGGTCACAGCAACAGAAAAGCTGACTAAAACAGAAATGGTACTGTGAAGTGGGGTCACTGCTGTGATTAACCTGTCCATGTGCTTCAGAAGCATCTGAAGCTGCAAACTGTTGCAATTGGGGGAATTTTGAAAAGTTTATGCAAGCTGAAAAGCTTTAGAACATTGTAAGTGGAGCTTAATGGGCTATTTTTATGGGTGTCCAGAACCAGAATGTTGCCAGGGCTGTGGACAGTAAAGATTGGGCTCATGAGGTTTCAGAGGAGGAGAACTCTATTGGAAATTGAACTAGAGGCCATTCATGTAATATTCTGGCAAAGAAGTTGTATACATTTTGCCCATGTCCTGAAACTTTTTGTGAAGCCAAATTAAAGGTCATGTACTAGTCCATCAGTGGAGGAAATTCCAAGGTATCTAAGCATTCAGATATTGCCAGTGGCTTTTAGCCAAGTTTACTGTGATAATCAGGAGTAGAAAGCAAAGATGAAAGATTTGAAAAACTTGCACTTTGGCCAGAAAAATACAAGTAAAACTAGGGCTAAGCAAATTGTGGTTGTTAAAGCAATCAAACCAAAAAAGCACTAAATAAATACTTGACCCAGAGATAATAAGAAAGATGGCTTGCAGGCTTCTCGGGAATTGGCAAGACCATACCCATCTCAGGCTCAGGGGGTTAAAGTAAAAATTCCTTTGAGAAGAGACCATGGGGGCACTCTGCTTACACTGTGTGTCCTAGGAAGTTGTTTCACTGTGCTTAGCTGCCCAGGCATTCAGAGGCTGCTGCAGTCATGGTTCCCAAAGGGCTGGCTACTGCTTAAAATAGTGGAAGACTTTGGCATTGATCATGTGGTGCTGGTTCTGCAGGAATGCAGGATACTAGGTTAGGAGGTCACGGTGGCTTCCATAGAGACTTCAAAGGAAGGCCTGGGAGGCCAGACAAAGTGTAGCAGGGGGGCTGGGATTGTGGCTCAGCAGTAGAGTGCTCGCCTAGCACGGGCAGGACCCGGGTTTGATTCTCAGTGCCACATAAAATAAAATAAAATAAAATAAAATAAAATAAAGGCACTATGTTGTGTCCATCTACAAAAGATTCTCTCTCTCAAAAAAAAAAAAAAAGTGTAGCAGGGTCAGAGTTCCTGTGGTGGGTGGGCTGCAACCAGCAAGGCTATAGGGGCAGAGCTTCAAAGACTCTTTGGAGAGAACATCAGGATGCCATATATCCCAGATGCTGGAAATGAAGCTACAGGACTTGTTTGCCCAGTTGGATTTTGGTCTTGCTTTGGTCCCACCCCTTAGTTTTCCCTGTGGAAAGGAAATGTTTATTCTATGTCATGTTATATTAGATAAATGCAACTTGCTTTTGATCTTCACAAGGGAAAACATCCTTGAGTTTTGAGTCTCAGATGAGGTTTTGGACTTAGACTTTTGGATAATGCTGGAACTGTTAAGATTATTGGGGCTCTTGGAAATGGACTAAGTGTATTTTTCATCATGAGACGGATATGAGCTTTTTGGGGCCAGAGGCAGAATGTTATGGGATTAATATGTGACATCCCCCAAAAGCTCATGTGTGAGACAATACAAGAATTAGTGAATCCATTCACTAACATGGATTAACTAAGTGGTAACTGTAGGGAAGTAGAGTGTGGATGGAAAAAGTAGGTCACTGGGGATATACCTTTGGGGTTTGTATTTTGTCTTCCGTGAGTGGAGCTCTCCATGCTTCCTGTTGTCATGTCCTGAGCTGCAGTCCTCTGCCATGCCCTTCTGCCATGCCCTTCTGCCATGATGTTCTGTCTCACTTTGCA